CCATGTGGAGCATCTGTCAGATGTTCAAATATTCAATTAAGATCATCAGAATGTACAAACGACACGCTAACGATCACATCTAAACTTCATGGAACTTTAAAAAAAATGTTAAATTTTCAATACTCAATAAAAGCATTGGCAAGTCGCTTAGAAGCTGAATACAAAGCAAGAGCTATAGATTCTCTTAAACAACTACAATTCGATCTTTACGACAGCACTCCACTAATAACGAAAATATTGCAAATGCTCGGCAATTAATTCATATATTTTGTGTTGCTGCTTATATCTAGTATTATCTTAGTTATATTGAGATTCGTAAATATTAAAATGCAAAAGAGAATGAACAAGGTTGAAAAAGAAATGAACAAATTTGTAGATGTATTTTCCTTAGATATTAGCACTGCATGATATAGTGCAAAATATTTGGACATTGTTTTATTGTAAAATTTATGTTTTTTTTTTTGTATTTTTTTTTCTGTACAGTTTCATTGATAATAGATGCAAAGATCATCAACTGTAAAGTAGTGAATATCTTGATTCAACACATTCGAGTTATATCACGAATAGTGACCCTTCAGTTGTGTATGTTTTTTTTCCTCCTGCCTTCTTTTCGTCTACTTTTTTATTTATGCATATGTAGCGCTTCTCGTTTTCTCCTCGTGACTTAATGGCAAGAAGTATAAAAATCAACCGTTGTAACCTATCACTCTTGCACGTTCTTCTAATATGTTACGATATTATTTCTCCGGTTATATAATACGTATTCCCTATTTGCCATGTCTATTTTCTTTCCTCACTATCAAATGCATTTTCCACACCTTAATATACAATATTTTTTTTTCATCATACCGTTCATTGCTTCTGTCTTAGCTGTTTTTCTTAGCACTTTTCGATATTAGTTTATCCTAGACATTATTCATAAATCCATAGGTACTTCCAAAATAAACAAAATGAATGATATGTAGATATCAGATATTATTCACGTTGACCGTTGTACACTACAAAGAAAAATATTCCAACTGCAAAAACTTCACATTAGTTAGCCATTTTGAATTGTACTTCTTATTTCATAGCCTATCGCATATATCCTCTTTGTCTAATACATAACAGAATACATAGAAAACTCACACAGTTCCAATGAAGATCACAAAAACAAAGTACGTAACATTGGAAGCGTTACTCCCACTTCCAGGTTGCTATGCATTCATTGCAAAAGGTATAACGCTTCTGCTAAACAGACGCGCTTACTTGCAATTCTTCTTTTCAGGAACACCAAGCATAAAATTTCATAAAGAAAGTTAGCCCTCAAAACAAGTGTCGGTACCAGTAATGGGCTCTCAACAATCCAATTTTGCCCTACGGCCTCCTCTGAAAATGGTACCATTGGAAAGACAATAAAATTCTGTGTTCACCATACCAGATTACGACGATGACACAAATTATGTGATGAATCCGAACAATGATTATACATAAGATGCGATCCTGGACCCGGACTTTGCGGCATAGCCCCACGTTTTTCGTGGATAACACCACTTTCAAATAGAACCATCTGCTAGAGAATTATATTCTGCATCTAACACACTCAACTAGAAAGTTAACACAGGTCGTAGAGCAAATTGGGACAAGAATTACACCCGAAATTAGGTCTTAGACCTGGTATTTGGCATGCAACCCTGTATTTTTGCCCCATAACAGCACCTAGAAATAGTACTATCTAATAGAGAATTAAATTCTGCATCTGACACACTCAACTAGAAAGTTAACACAAGTCGTCGAGCAAATCGGGACAATGATTACAGCCGAAATTAGGTCTTAGACCCGGTATTTGGCGTGTAACTCTGTATTTTTGCCCCATAACAGCACCTACAAATAGTACCATCTGATAGAGAATTAAATTCTGCATCTAACACACTCAACTAGAAAGTTAAGACAAGCGGTAAAGCGAATCCGGACAAGAAATACAGCATAATTGTTGTCGTTGCACGGGGAATAAGACAGTATTTCGGGGAAAAGTGGTGGTTTTTGCCCGATGACTCCCCTAGAAACATGTATCATTGGATAGAGCACTAAATTCTGCACCTAACACAAGTGCTTAGAGAGTTAACACAGGTAAGTAAGCGAATTGGGACAAGAAATACTCGAATCTGGTGCTAACTTTACTTACGTCAAATATATATCTGATCAACAAGAGGACATTTCTCTCCTCCAGCGGACTTTTCTATTCTGTCACATTTACCTGTTCGCGTCCGATTTATCTCGTCTCGATACACATAAGACACGCTTTCACAAATTTCAACAACATAGACAAATTATTTACATATATTTATGAGCGAATCGTATTTTTGTTGTACAATTGGCAAAAAAAAATAAAAGTGTATTGAGCAGAATTTTAAGACGTGCATATTATTCAGCATCGTCTACCTAGTATAAGATGAAATTTTCCCAACTACCACATGTCAGGAAGCCGAGATATCTCTGGATCCATATATATTAAGATAGTTCCAATATTGTCAATATTAACAGGTTCTCGTTTTATTTCTATCACAACACTTTTTGTCTGCTCATCATGGGTATTTTAATAACTTGGAATGAATAGGTCATCAATTGGGAGACAATCATTATTGGCTATTTGTATTTCATCAATAATATAATATCGTAATTCATGAAGCTATATCCAATTGTCTATTTAAGTCAGTCGATGTCGAAAAACTCCTAAAAAGCGTTTCTCTACATAAAAACAAAAAAATGTTACTCTCAGTCCGTCGTATAATGCAAAGTTTTTTAAGAAGCATTAATTGAATCACGCTGAAATTTTTAGCAAAGGTACAAGTTTTTATGCTCTCTCTTATGTGCAAATTTCAGCGAGATCGGTTCAATCTATCCGAAGATAAACCTAAAATAATTTTCAAAATGTCACTATAAAGTGAGTCAAAAATCGATTTTTGAAAAAGTTTGCTTACTTTTCCCGAAAATGATATCAGGAAAACTGAAACTTCTTTTGACCATTTGGTTACTTGAAAAAAGCTGTTTCCTTTGAAGGAGTTCCTGGATTCCTAGCTGCGTTCCTGCATCGGCTAGAAAAGGTTTTGTGTTACTCTACATAAAAGAGAAAAGTGTTTGTAAAAGTGTTATGGTCTTGGACGAGCAAGAAACAAATAACAATTATATCAACGAATCATGTATTTGAATAGCTCGTCAAACGCTGAATAAAACAAGGGTATTACTGTTTTTGCTTTTTGCTTTTCTTCTTTGGAAAATCTATTTTTTGTACGGTGGCTCTTTGAAAAAACCTGTATTTTTAATATTTTGCGTCTCTATCTAGACGAGTTATTGAGCAATCGGGCAGATATCTTCTGTGGTAGTGCGACACATATGAATGAGCAAAACAAACAAAAAACTTCGTGAATCAGACAGCAGGAAATGGAGTTATAGGACAAATACTTCAAAAATACAATTGTACAACAAAAATACGACTCGCTCATATATATATATACACATATATACAACTACCGAAACCCATGCGTAACACTAACATTATACCCAATACAAACCATGATACTTCTTTCTTTCAGCGCACCTTTCCCTATATGATTTCTTTCTTTCTGGTGCGTATACAGGGTGTCCAATAAATAACACCCCGATAAGAAATTTAAATATCTACACCAGATGTCGACCAAACGATCTGAAATTTTTACCAGTGATAGAGGCATATTCAAAGTTTATATCCATAAAGACATGCCTAGAGAGACCCTTTGATAAGTATCACTATTGACCTCAACACAAAAATTTTACTTTTTTACAGATAGGACAAAAAACAATATACTTAACAAAGGGTTTTTCCAGGCATGTCTTTATGATTATAAAGCTTGAACATGTATCTATCATTGATAAAAAAATCAGCTAGTTTGCTCCGGTCGTAATGGGGATATTCAATTTCTTTGTTTGGCAAAGTGACTTTTGCACCACTTTGTATATTATTTTTTTTTCTACCTGTGAACAAGTAAAATTTTTGTCTTGTAGTTAATAGTGATACTTAGCAAATGGTTTCTCTAGGCATGTCTTTATGGATATAAATTTAGAATATGCCTCTATCACTGGTAAAAATTTCAGATCGTTTGGTCGACATCTGGTGGAGATATTTAAATTTCTTATCGGGGTGTTATTTATTGGACACCCTGTATNTCAATACTCAATAAAAGCATTGGCAAGTCGCTTAGAAGCTGAATACAAAGCAAGAGCTATAGATTCTCTTAAACAACTACAATTCGATCTTTACGACAGCACTCCACTAATAACGAGAATATTGCAAATGCTCGGCAATTAATTCATATATTTTGTGTTGCTGCTTGTATCTAGTATTATCTTAGTTATATTGAGATTCGTAAATATTAAAATGCAAAAGAGAATGAACAAGGTTGAAAAAGAAATGAAAAAATTTGTAGATGTATTTTCCTTAGATATTAGCACTGCATGATATAGTGTAAAATATTTGGACATTGTTTTATTGTAAAATTTATGTTTTTTGTTGTATTTTTTTTCTGTACAGTTGCATCAATAATAGATGCAAAGATCATCATCTGTAAAGTAGTGAATATCTTGATTCAACACATTCGAGTTATATCACGAATAGTGACCCTTCAGTTATGTAGGTTTTTTTTCATCTTGCCTTCTTTTCGTCTACTTTTTTATTTATGCATATGTAACGCTTCTCGTTTTCTCCTCGTGACTTAACGCCAAGAAATATAAAAATCAACCATTGTAACCTATCACCCTTGCACGTTCTTCAAATATGTTATGATATTCTTTCTCCGGTTAAATAACAGTAGTCCCTATTTGCCATCTCTATTTGCTTTCCTCTCTATCAAATGCATTTTCCACACCTTAATATACAATATTTTTTTTCCATCATACCGTTCATTGCTTTTGTCTTAGCTGTTTTTCTTAGCACTTTTCGATATTACTTTATCCTAGACATTATTCATAAATCCATAGGTACTTCCAAAATAAACAAAATGAATGATATGTAGATGTCAGATATTATTCATGTTGACCATTGTACACTACAAGGAAAAATATTCCAACTGCAAAAACTTCACATTAGTTAGCCATTTTGAATTGTACTTCTTATTTCATAGCCTATCGCATATATCCTCTTTGTCTAATACATAACAGAATAAATAGAAAACTCACACAGTTCCAATGAAGATCACAAAAACAAAGTACGTAACATTGGAAGCGTTACTCCCACTCCGATGTTGCTATGCATTCATTGCAAAAGGTATAACGCTTCTGCTAAACAGACGCGCCTACTTGCAATTCTTCTTTTCAGGAACACCAAGCATAAAATTTCATGAAGAAAGTTAGCCCTTAAGCCAAGTGTCGGAACCAGTAATTGGCTCTCAACAATCCACTTTTTGCCCTACGGCCTCCTCTGAAAATGGTACCACTGGAAAAACAATAAAATTCTGTGTTCACCATACCAGATTACAACGATGACACAAATTATGCCACGAATCCGAACAATGATTATACATAAGATGCGATCCTGGACCCGGACTTTGCGGTATAGCCCCGCGTTTTTGGTGGATAACACCACTTTCAAATAGAACCATCTGCTAGAGAATTATATTCTGCATCTAACACACTCAACTAGAAAGTTAACACAAGTCGTAGAGCAAATCGGGACAAGAATTACACCCTAAATTAGGTCTTAGACCCGGTGTTTGGCATGTAACCCCAGATTTTTGCCCCATAACAGCACCTAGAAGTAGTGCCATCGGATGGAGAATTAAATTCTGCATCTAACACACTCAACTAGAAAGTTAACACAAGTCGTAGAGCGAATCGGGACAATGATTACAGCCGAAATTAGGTCTTAGACCCGGTATTTGGAGAGCAACCCTGTATTTTTGCCCCATAATAGCACCTAGAAATAGTGCCATCGGATGGGGAATTAAATTCTGCAGCTAGCACACTCAACTAGAAAGTTAACACAAGCCGTAGAACGAACCGGAACAAGAATTACACCAGAAATTAGGTCTTAGACCCGGTATTTGGCGTGCAACCCTGTAGTTTTGCCCGATAATAACAGCTAGAAATGGTGCCATCCGATGGCGAACTAAATACTGCGTCTAACACACTCAACTAGAAAGTTAACACAAGTCGTAGAGCAAATCGGGACAAGAAATACAGCATAATTGTTGTCGTTACACGGGGAATAAGACAGTATTTCGGGGAAAAGTGGTGGTCTTTGCCCGATGATCTCCCTTGAAACATGTATCATTGGATAGAGCACAAAATTCTGCACCTAACACAAGTGCTCAGAGAGTTAACACAGGTAAGTAAGCGAATCGGGACAAGAAATACTCGAATCTGGTGCTAACTTTACTTACGTGATAAAAGACTTTTTACATAAATTGTATTAGGTGTTATTTCAATATCATTTAAATTTGTTTCATTTGATATTAATCGTTGCATTGATAAAATACCAAGGATAAGACAGTAAGGCATTTGATAAGTATACAAAATCCTAGGACAACAAAAAAAGAACAGATTTATATTGTTTCTTATTTTGTCAAATCAATTTTCATCTACTATAAGAATCATTCTAAAAATTTTATGCTATGAAAAAAACCCAATAGGCTCGCGGAGTCCAGGAATTCAAACCTATAGAAAGTTTGTTGAAATTCTCGAATGCAATTTTATGGTTCGAGAAAGACTTCGTGATGTTTTATAAAACCTAATTGCTTTCTTGAAATAGACTTCCTTCCATCAAAAAAACTCAAAACGAATATAAGGTGAACATCACTGTTACATCCACAGTCATCGGTTCATGATATTTGTTTAGAAGAATGTTTCATAAACTTGAAATTTCTGATTTCTAAAAATTATTTTGAGTTGAAAATAACACAATCGAAAAAATTTTACGATATATCTTTACAACTATTTATGATTATTTTCTTCATTAGTCATTTCATAATATTAGAAAGACGTCGTTTTCTTTAGTTGTAACAGTACACATAGCACGACTCAGCATTTGACGGATGAGATCCAAGACGAATACTTCGGTCATTGTACTAATGTAACTTAAATGCTTTCCTTTACGATTCCTGAAATTCTGCATTTTTTCTTTCTTACCTATGTAATTNATCTAATTCACAAAAATGAACTTTTTTCTATTTTTTTTTAATTTTAAATCGATATATTAAAAAATTCTAAGAAAATATATTTTATTTTTTATTTTATAATATATTAAACAAAACAAATAAGGATAATTAAACTTAGAATTTATTCAAGATATTCGAAAATAGTTGAAATAAGTCAAATCTAAAATTAATTTATTTTTGAAAAAATAAATAATTTTATTTAAAAAACACAAATAAAAGTTTCTTTAGACAATAATATCTTTATCATCTGATGTAAATCTTTATTCAATTGTTGAATTATTAACAAGTTCAATAGATGATAAGAAATCATTTGATGAAGCAACTCAATGTGGTGCAAGAATTTATACGTATATTTATCGATTTTGTTTTATTTTATTTTATTTATTTTATTTATTTTATTTAATATAGATGTTCGAAACTTCGTTCAAAATTTTGTTTTTTAACTCCAACAGTAACAAATTTGGAAAATATTCTTGATGCTGCTAGGGTAAAATATAAATAAATATGAATTGTTATTATAAAAAAAAAAAACTTTCAAAAATTGAAGGTATCTGATACAATAATATATGTTATATCATCTTCAAATGGTATATCAATTGAAGGAGATTATTTACTTGATTTAATTAATGTTCATTGTCTTCCTGGTAGTGTTATTTATTCAATAATTGAATCAAATGATGATTCAATGTCAACAATATCATCATTAACATCAAAAAATTCTTCATTAAAAAATTTAGAAAAATATCTTGAAAAAAAATATTCAAATGTTAAATTAATTCCATTAAATAATCAACTAGATGGTCAACGTCTTCTAGCCAAATTAACTCAACAAAAATTAATTAAAACAACAAAAAAAATTTCAAGACCTTATTTATTTGCTCAAACTTTTTCTTATTTAGATCCAAAGGTAACAAAAATAATCAATTTTTACTATTTTTTTCTTTTTAATCAATTATATTTAAGTCATCAAAAAGTACATTGAAATTAAGTGGATATTTACGTGGAATTGATTTATCTCCAAATGATCTTGTTTATATTCCAAATCTAGGAACATTTCAATTAGAAAAAATCGAACAACATCAATTTCAACGAGATGTAATTTCAAATAAAGATTTTTTTTATTAATGAAAACAAAAATTGAATATTTAGTCCGATGGAATAATAAAATCAACAGTTGAAAAAACATATGAATCTGATCGAAATCTTCAACGATCATTGACATTTGAAGCTGAACAAGATCCAATGAATATTGATCAAGAACAAACATGGCCAACTAAACAAGATATTCAACAATCAGAACATCAATTAAAAAAACGTGTTCCAAAAGGAACATCAACATATCAAGCTGCATGGATTCTATCAGATGATGAACAAGATAACGATTCTCTCAATCAACAAAATGTTTTTTTATTTTTTATTTTTACTTTTTATTTTTAATATTTTTATTTTTTATTTTCTAGGATCTCGATGAAAATCATCAAAATATGATTACTGATTATGCTGATGATTTACAATCAATTAAACTTGATCAAGAAGATGAAGAAGAAGAAGAAGAAGAAGAAGAAGAAGAAGAAATGGATGAACTTGTTATTAATCCAAATAATTATGATGAAAAATATGATATTGAAGAAGATAAACAAAGGTTTGTTTTATAGTAAAATAACTAAAAATGTTTATTTTTAAAATTGATTTAGTTTAAAAAAATTAAAAGAAGC